TTTGGCCAAAGCCAGGATGCTCAAGCCCTCTCTTACAGACTGGGAAACACTTGCTGTCTGCACCTCGGAGAAGGGTGCGAGGAGCCAGCCTGCCTCGTTCCAGCACAGGCACGCCAGCTATGCTACCTACACCTCGGGCTGGGGCCCTGCTCCCCACCACTAGTCCTACAGCCAGGGCCCCACACCTGCCATCCGCAGACAGAGCTGCAGGCCCGGAGAAGAAGGCTGAGGAGAGGCCGAGACCCGGATGAGGCCGTCCTCGTGGTCTTTGTGGCCCAGCGCTGGCACTGGGGGACCCTGGCCTGCCAACCGCCAACCCAGTGGCAGGAAGAGGCGAGGGGGAGAGAGCCTGCAGGGAGTCAAATGATTGCATTTGGGTGGGTGCTTGCGGACATATTTGCTGAGTAAACCTCCCTTGCTGTGCTGAAGGCGAATCCCCGTTGATAAATCCATCATTACCGTTTGGATTCAGGGAGGCAGCCGAGCCACTAAATTCATCTTACATTTGTAGCGCTTTAATAGACATTTATTAAATGCTTTTAGAGAGAGGCATGGGGCGCGTGATTACATCCTAGTTATAGACAGAACATAAAGACCCGCGTTAACACCCATTTGCAGGAAGGAAGGAAGAGATGAGCAGGGGGCGGTGAGACGGGTGGGGGGCACAGTGCCTGGGCGTTCTCAGCGAGGGCTGCCTGGTGGGGAGTGAGGCCAGAGAGCCGCGGGAAGTCTCAGGCTGTGGAGAGCAGTACCTATTCCCCTCCACTTCGAGGGTTTCCCTTCCACAGTCCCAGCACTCCCGACTGTGGGGGCGGGGGGCGCGTGCGCGTGCGCCGCGCCAGGAGGGGCTCCTAGTCTCTCTCTCAGGGCACAAGGGCCCCGCAATGCCTCTGCCGACCCTTCCTATCCCCAGCTCCTACTTACTCTAGTCTCTGCAACTGGAGCAGCCAGACTAGGAAGAGAGGGGAAGGAACCCTCGCTTCAGGGTCCCAAGAAGCCTGCTGAAGCATCCTCTCCGCCCCACCCTTCAACCACACAGCTACCGAGCCACCTAGGCCTCGGCAGCAAGCAGCAGATATCCAGGCCACCGCGGGGCAGCCTCGCTAGCTCCCAGGGCTCCTTGGCCTGGCAAACTCGGTGGCAGGATCCTTCCTCCACCTGGCACCGAGAGGAAACCTTTACATTCTGACCACTTAGTGCCTGGGAACTCGCCCTGGATGTGCCGGCGTCCCTTGACCTCACATTCAAGGAGCTGGGCCTGAAGGGCTGTCAGGCCACCGAAGAGCCTGACGTCTTTCTGAGAGCTCCGAGGGCCTCACAGACAGGCCCGATCCATTGCTCCACCAGCTCTGTTCCCCTCTCCTTAGCCTGGGACACAGCCACGACCCGGGGCGGAACTGCAGCCCAAAGGACTCCAGGCCTCCCGGGCTCTCGGTAAGGAGCACTTCTGCTATCTCAAAGTTGCCATAAGAAAATAAATACAAGTGACATTGTACTGGGCCAAAGCTCATTAGTTCGTTGTCCAGGCCTAATAAAGGAACAGAAGCGCAAATTATAGAGTTCAGCTCCAACACACACTCTGTCACCCGAGATCAGTGTACTGCGAGCCTGATTCCAATTGCTCCGAACTTGCAGCGCAGTCCGCCCCCACCCACCCCCAGAGAGCAGGAGGTTGGGTGGAAAAATATAGTTCCAAAGGGGGTAGTGATCAAGCTTTTCCTCTCGGAAGCCTGCGCCACCTCATTTCCCATCAGTAATCCCAATAAAATTAACGTCGTGGCTGCAATTGAAAAGAGGAGGGCCCACGACACTCCTGAAATAACACTCTCCCCCAGCAAAAGGTAAAAAGCAAAACGACCCTTTGTTCAGCTAATTAACGAAGGCCCAACTCCGAAAGCAGATGTGTTTGCTTAGCTAATCACAAGCATGCTTCCTTCAAGGAACGTCATTTCGAGGGGGACCTGGGGGGCTGCAAAGGGGCACACTGCCCCCCCAGTCCCTCCCTGCCCAGAGCGCTCGCACCCCAGCCTAAGACCCGGAGGCACTGCAGGCAGCTCCTCTCGCACACCTAGCTTCTCCTGGCCCTACCTAGAGGCCCAAGAGGCAGGAACCTAGGCGTGAGCCCGAAGGCCAGACCCGCAGGACTCCAAGGGAGAAAAAAAATAAATAAATAAAACACAGATGCCATATTAAATGAGGCAGTTTTACAGTTCACTTCGAATAGGATGCTAACTTAGGACAAGGGTGTTATCCGAAGGACGGTAAGATTTATAACGCCAAGAGTCAGCTCTGTGCCTTCCTGACAATGGATGTCGAGGGGAGGAAATCTCTATTAGGACATCGGAGTCCTTTCCCCGTGTTCAGGCATTTTACGGGATGAAGCCGGCAGGACAGATACCAAGCTCTTTGTGCTTCCATAGGAAAGATTCTCTCTTCCCTTTCGGACCAGGAAACCCGGTCTCCCGGCTGGGTCAGCGCCTCGCCTAGCTCTTCAGCGTGAGCAAGGAGGGGGAAAGAAGAGCGGCAGGAGGCAGACTTGCAGATGCAATGAGGCGGGCGGTGGACCGGGTTCAGCTCTCGGGTTCGTGCAGCAGAACTATTTCCCCATCTTTCTCTACCATACAAAAGATAGCTTTGCCCTAAATTAATACAGTAAGCAAACTTTAAAAAACTGGGGTCCTATTACAATACAACGCCCAGCAATAACTGCTTTAAAATTACTGCATAATTAGATTTAGTTGAATTTCACCATTAATTAGGCAGCCGCACTGCAGGGAGCCTTTGAAATCTGAGAAAATGGGAAAAATCATCTGAAGCACGGTTTAAAAACCCAACTTCAATAAATCTTGACGAGGCCTGGAATTCAGAGTACCTCGCTCCCCTCCCAGGCGGCAGAGATAAGGTTCTCGTGCCGAGGTTAGGGCTGGAAGCGGACAGACGGGGTGACTCCCCCTTCGGCCGAGAGCGAGTCCGGCTGCGATTTCCTGGCCCTGAAGAAGTTCTGCGATGGCCTCTCCGGGAGGCCAGACATGTGCCCTGCCGCCTTCATCAGCTCTCAAACCTATTAGATGAAGAGGGTCCCCTGCCACAGACGCGCTCGTGCAAGAAGCGCATATTTTCCTGGGGTCTCTGACCACACTCCCGGGACCACCCCTAGGCCTCTGTTAGCTCCCACTCCCCAACCAACCTCAGCCCCGAAAGCCACCTTTCTTAAAACTTTGGACTTGCAAGCACCAAGTTCTGCCTCTGTCCGGCGGGGCTCGCGGCCGGGCCCCCTCCCTAGCCGGGCTCCGACCCCGGGCACAGAGAGGCACAGCCCCCGCATCACGGAGAATTGACCCAGGTCTGTACGTACTCGCCTCTCCCCCTCCCCCTGTACCATTCAAACACTTAGGATCATTTGTGCATACAGGTTTTTCTATTTCTTTTTCTTTTTCTCATTTGGTTCTTGGAAGGAGAGAGGACAAGAAACCAACTGGATAAGGGGGAGGGTGTAGGGAGGGGAGGGTGCTACGTTCCCTGTGAATTCTGTTACTTTAATTACAGAATAATCGGGGACGCACTCACTCACTTGCCAAGCAAGAGTTTCAAAGAGGGTTTTCTGCCTGCAGACGGAATGGCCTCTAGCCCCCTAACCCCCCCGCC